TCTCTCTGTATCCCCAAAGTATTGACCAGGCTCTGCACATTCATCAGGGCTTCTAAGACACTGATACTCCTTTGAAGGAAAATAGCTCAAGCTACTGGAGCTTTGCTCATCAGGCTAATGACCTCCTTTAAAAGAAGGAGCCTCCTTAATCGCAACATCAATTTTATTTTGAAATATTCTAAACAAAGGCAGAAACTCTATGAGAAAATATTGATGGATTGATGGCATTAAAAATTAAAAACTTATATACATCTGGGGGAAAAAAGCCCTTGATATAAAAGTAAAGGGCAAGCAACAAATTGGGAAAATATTTGCAACATATAAATCAATCAAGGGAGGGCTGACTTTCCTAAGGACCTGGACCAGTTAGGTCCAGAGACAGTGCTTCAGCCTTCCAGGCTAATGCTTCCTCTGCTCACTCATTCATTCATCCATACATTCATTTATTCAACATAAATGTATTGAGTACCTACCAGATGCCTGGCTTTGGGGTATAATGATATTCAAAAACAGAAATGGCCCCTGCTCTCCTGGAGCGCACAGTCTAGTGGGGTGACAGTTATTCACCAAACAGTCACACTCAAGAGTGTACAACTACAACCCAAGGTAAGTGCTACAAAGGAAAGGAGAGCACGGAGCAGAGGACCCAGTTTAGACTGGGGTGTGTGGGAGCACTTCCTTGGCTGGCGACACTTGAACTGAGAACTGGAGGGTGAATAGGAGTTAAGGGGTGTGTGTGTGTGTGTGTGTGTGTGTGTGTGTGTGTGTGAGAGTGAGAGAGAGAGAGAGAGACAGACAGACAGACAGACAGACAGACAGACAGAAGGAGGCATTCCAGCTGGGGAAACAGGGTGCCAAAGCCCTGTGGTAGGAGGCCCATGGAACAGTTGAGGAATGGGAAGAAGGCCAGTGTGGCTGGAGCTTGGAGAGTGAGAGGAGGCTGGAGGTTTGGCCAGTGGCTAGACTGTAAGAGGGGCCTTATGGGCCATGGTAAGGACTTAGGATTTTAACCCAAAGAGCGATGGGGAAGCCAACCAAAGGATTCCAAGCTGGGGCTGGAGGAGGAGGCCGGAGGTGGGTACAGGTTGGATTTACATTTGAAAAGATCGCTCTGGCTTTGGAATGGAGAATGGATGGGAGCGGGTGGGGTGAGGCAGAATGTTATTGCCACAGGTTAGAAATGATGATGGCTGGGATGATAACATGAGATTGAGTGAGACAGGCAGAGTCAAGAGCTCTTTGGGAGGTAAAACAACACGGCTGCCTTCCATACCTTATCCTTGTGGAACAGGGCAAGACCAAATCAATAAACCTTTATTTTGGGCAGTGCTAACGGGCACAGAGGAGGCCTCAATCAAGATTGGGGGAATACACAAATCTTTGAAGAAGCAGACCCTGGGTCAGTGGATTTCAGGAAAGGGAGCAATCCTAGCAGGCTGGGGTAGCGTCAGGGTCAAGTATTTTGGGGCTTTGTTCTGACTATGGCCTGGACAGATGGGGATGAACCCAGTACCCCTCACAGAATCTGGCATGAGATTACGGCTTGGGGCTCCGCTGCCTTTCCTCACCCTGCATAACTACCCGCGTTGCTCCCAGGACAGAGGGTGCCAGTCTTATGTTTTTATTTTCTATCTTAAAAGATAAATTGCAATTTTTACAGTGTCACAGAGCATATGCACTTGTGACTTGCTCCACCGTGTGATAAATTCATGGAGTTTTAGTAAATTTATCTCATTTTTCTTCTGGGAAAACTGGCAGGGGTGGGGTGACCTGTCTCTTCCATTCCCACTCTGGAAATATGGCAAAAATTCTCAGTGGAGTTAGAGCTTGCCAGGCGTGGCATCAGGAAAGGCTCCCTGGACAGGACCCTGGGAGTCAGGCAGGAGCTGAGTGGGGCAGAGTCAACCACACCTGGGTCCAAATGGCCTGGTCTGGCTTCCACAGGCCATGACGAGCTAGGGTGAGTCTGAACTGGTCCTAAGCAGGCAGTAGCAAGCTAGAATCACAGTATCAATGGCTAGTGTGAGCTAGTATGAACCAATGTGGACCACTTTCCCAAATCAGTCTACATTGTGTGATGCACGTAAAAGCAAGCACACTGTTTGAATTTACTGGCCTGTTTTGAGACATTTCCAGCTGGTTTGGGTGCCTCCCTACTTTTTTGAATTATTATTGTCCTCTTCTGTGTGTGTGTGTGTGTGTGTGTGTGTGTGTGTGGTACGTGTGTGTGTACAACACCTGCCTCATCTGCCTCTAACTACTTCTTGGAAGTTGAGCTCAGATTATTGACTAAACTTAGTTTTATATGCAGGTAAGTGACAGTGGGGTTTCTCCTGGGAGGTTCTCAATCTTGACATCTCCCCCTCCACGGGACAGCTTTAGGATGATGGCAGCCTTTGCCGGCTGTCTCAGGGCTGGCCTGGATGGGGACCTTCCAGGGAGTTAACAGCCAACATGACCCTGGGGAAGAGTCCTTGGGAAACCCCTATCTGCAGAGCAGCAAAGGCTTCTGAGCCAGCTGACAGGGGCTGGTTTTATTAACTGTTCCAGAAAGTGACCCCAGGTCTTTTTCACTCAACCCACTGTACCCAGGTGGTGGTGTAGTCTGGAAGTATGTCTGGAATATGTATCGTCTGGAGCAGTCTAGGCAAGGCAGTGTGTGGATACCAGGGTCTGTGATCTGTATCCTATAGACAGGCTGGGTTTATGACATGCAGCTTGCCCAACTCCTAAAAGGTGCAGCGGGGGATGAATTTTGAGGAAAGGTCTTCCTTCTACCAGAGCAGAGCCCGATTTCTTAGAGGCATTCACATATAATTTTGGCCTGTATTCCTACAGAAATGTCCCTGCGTCATCTGACTCCTGACCTGATCTCCAGCCCCAGCCTCCTGGCCCTGTGTGCCCCTCCCCTCCCACAGCATCAGCACATGCCGATCGCTGCCTGAAATGTGGCCTCCTCCCTCCACCACCCTGTGCCTACGTAGCCCCACCATTCTTCAGCTCACAACGCAAGCACCACTTGCTTCCTCTGGAAGCTTCATTTGTAGTATATGTTCTTATGCTCTTAGAATACTCCTTGTCATGGTTTATGGTCATGTATTTTTATGGGTAAATGATTATCTTATAAATATCTGATATATAGCACCATAAACTTTATCTTTTAACATATCCTACAAGATAATATCATCTACTAGAGGGGTTCTCAACCTTAGCACTATTAACCTTTGGAGCTGGAGAATTCTTTGTTGTGGGGACTGTCCTCTGCATTGCAGGCTGCTTAGCGTCCCAGCCTATATCCACTAGATGCCAGTAGCACTCCTTAGTTGGAACAACCAAAATGTCTCCAGACATCGACAAATGTCCCCCAAGGGGCAAAACAGCTCCCGGTTGAAAACCACTGACCCAGAATAAATGTTTTTAAGAAGTTTGACATTTCAAAGGCAGGCTTCCTGAGACCCCTCTGCAAAGCACTGGTTTCTTTCTGACCAGCCCCATCCAACAGAAAGATAATGTGAGCCACGTATGCAATAATAAATGTTCTAGTAGCTGCATTAGAAGCAAGTAAAAGAAAAAAAAGGTGAAATGAATTCTAATCCATATTTTATTTAACCCAATATATCCAAAGTATTGTCACTTCAGCAGGTGACCAATGTAAAATAATCATTGAGATATTTTACATTCTTTTTTTCAAGTCATCAAAATCTAGTGTGTATTTTTCTCAGTTTAGATTAATCACACGTCCGGTGCTTGCTCAATAGCCAAGTGTGGCCAGCATTTTAGACAGGAGTGGGAGAGGAGACCCAAGGTCTCTTAGAGAGCCTGGCCCAGCCCACCCTTTGCATCATCACCAGGCTGTACTGCTACCCCTGAGCAGAGCCATGCACAGTCCTCCTTTGCCCATTGGGGCCCACAGGTGACAGCCCATTCCGAGCACCCCATGGAGGGGTTCTGACTACACTCTAGAGGGCCAGCCTGCCCAGGAAAGTCATCCAAATGCCTGCAGCGTGCTAATGAGATGGGTGTGTGCCCGTGAGCTCACAAGAGCCTGGAGGGTTCCTGCCTCAAATACACAAATACTTGGGTGAGGCAAGCACTGTTTCCAAGCTCCCCAGGCAGAAGCTCCACCCATCTCCAAACCACCCTCCTCGTGCTCCTTGCTCACAAGGGAGGCTCAGCCCTCCACAAACACTGGCCACATGGAAGGACACATTCTATTTTCTTAAAACACAGATGTTCTCGTCTAAAATGACACTTGCACTGGCCAAGAAGTTGCTGTCCAGGGAGATGCTGTCCGTAGCCCCAAGACTTGTCCTGAGGCCCCAGGCCATTCTGCAGGGCCGCAGCCTGGTTGGGGCGCTAGCCCAGGGCTGCAGGATCACCCCTGCAAGGCTCTCCCGACTCGCATCTCTTACTTATCTCTAGACACTCCCAACACCCACAACTCCAGGCCCTTCTGCCTCCTGGGAGTTCTCCCGGGGGGAGCCCCTGCCTGCCTGAGGGGTTGCTTCCTGCAGCCAGGCTGTGGCAGCCCCTGCAGGCTCTGCAGAGCAGCCTCCCAGGTAGCCAAAATGAAGACCTTCACTGGGACCTGGCTGTCTGGAGAAGCCAGGGCATTGCCCTTCCTAGTGAGGGCTACTTTTGTCTTGGCAGCTAGGGCAAATCTTGAGCATTCAGCATTTCCCTTTTAGTAGAAAACTAAAGTTTTACCAGAGTTGTCACCCGGTCACTTTGGGCAAGCCAGGGACTCTGTAAAACATGGCATGCGGGGTGAAGCCTGCACACCCACTGGGGCAATAAGCTGGCCATCGCCCTTTGGCAGTCTCAGGAGTGACCCCCACAGACCCCAGGAGCATCACTAGAGAGGGCTGTCAGTCATCCAGATGCCTCCAGAACGCCTGCCCCATCTGACCCCAGCGTGGCAGCCAGCTGAGTATCCACGCCCATCGGCCAACAGACGCACGCACACTGTGTCCTGATCCGCCTCAGGAAGTTGGACTTACCCCTCCTGGCTTGCCTGATCTTTGGGCTCAGCATGTTCCTGCCGCCTCCTGGACGGAATCGCTGGGCCGATCATGCTGTCATCCACTTCCCTTTTCTCTTCCTCTGGCCCAGTTGCCCCTCATGCCCCGCTCGGGCCCCCATGGCTGCTGGCGTCACCAGCGAGGCTCCCTCGGCTGCCTTTCCTGGCTCCGGACCGACGGCTTGCCTTGGACTATGTAAACCTCAATGCATTATTTATCCACCTCAGAATTAATTCCCACCCAAGCGAACCATTAAGAGGCTCAGTGACCGTTGCTGATCAATCACCGGTCCAGGGCGGGAAGGCCTGACTGTCCCTCCGCCTGGCCGGGGCGCACGCGGCACAGCCCATCCCAGAGCGGAGCTGGCCGCCGGTCGGGGCGGAGGCGAGAGGAGGGCGGGGCGGGAGGAGCTGGGCGGAGCGCGCGGTCCCAGCTGGTCCGATGGTCCCAGAGGGCGGGCGGGCTCCGAGCTCGGATCCGCCCTCTGCGCGGGGAGGGCCTGTCGGGGATGAGCGCCACTGGCCGGAGCCACCAAGAGGCCGCAGGAAATGCAGGGCATCTGGCCGCCCGGATCCCGCACGCCCTGCCAAGGCCCGGGGGTTGGGCAGCGGGTGGCCGAGGCCCGGGGGGGGGCCAAGGATCCCTCCAGGGTCCGTCCACTGGGGACCTGCTCTGCCTGATGTTTCCTGCCAGGAGGGCCCAGGAGGCCGTCTATGACAGTTCCAACTGTGGAAAGGCAGGTGTGTCTTAGAAGGAGCGTGCGGCTTTGGCACATTCAGAGCCTCAGGGGACTGGTCCAGCAAAGCGGGTTAGGGATGTTCATTTTTTGCCACCTTAATAAGGTGAAAGGAATAAGAATGCGGTGAAGCACTTAGTTCAGGGCCTGCACATAGTAAGGAGGATCTCCAAAACTGTTCACTGGGCAGTGAAATCTCTGCTAACTGCCATGTTTCTGTCTAATACTAGTACAGTTCTAAAGAGTGTACGGTGGGGACTTTTGGGAGGTTCAGACTCAAGATCCTAAAAATTGCCCAAGAAATGCAATCACGGTAACCGTTCTCATTTATTAGGTGCCTACTATGTGTCCTTGAGGTTGGTGCTTTATATTCAGTATCTCATTTAATTCTCAAATTCCCTGAGGCAGGGAAGCCTTTATCATGGCTTTTCAGATGAAGAAAATAAGGCACAGAAATGTTAAATATCTTGCCCAGAGTCACACAATCCTGTCAGGGCTGGGACCTGAACCCAGGCTGTCTCTACATCTTATGCTTCTCTGTGATGCCAGTCTAAGTACCCCGATTCCAACCACTTCCTGTGAACGTTCCCAGCTTGAGAGCCCTCAATGAACTTGCTAGATGGTGAGGACCAGACTTTGTGCCCCTGAAATCACCTCACGTGCCCTGTTAGGCATTTGCGCCTGGGGCTGGGTTCTTTGGGCCTGGGTACTGTGTGATCCTCTTAATAGGTGGAATATGAGGGATTTGAACAGGGACCTCTCTGCTTTGAACGGCCATGCTCCCACCCTAATCCTCATAGTGCCGCTATGTCCACTGGTCCCCAAATGGCGGATTGATGTGTAATCAACTCTAGTAGCTGGAAGGGAAGTGGGTCCAGAGGCTGAGAGGTCCACTGCAGCTGTCCGTGGACAGGATCTGGACTGTGGAGAGGAGGGGAGGATGGGAGAGGTTAAGGACTCACCAGGATGTGGTAGGTCAAATCGCCAGGGTGAAGGGAGAGAGCAGAATCCCTGGAGACAAAGCTGTCTTACTTAGCATCCAGTCACTTACTCCGGCCCTCAGCTACTCCTCAGAAGGGATGAGTAAGTATAAGTAAGTTTGCTATAACATTCAAGGCCTTTTATGGTGCTGGCCATGGTTTCCTCTGTGACCTCTCTTGCTAATGCTACACACAACCATATGCATGCACAGCCCCTGCTCCTGTGTGCTCCCAGTTCCTTCTCTCTGGAGTGTGTGTTTCAGCCACAGAAGTCTGATCATTCTAAGCAAGTCTCGCATGAAACTGTCCTGATTCTACCTCCAGAAGGAGAGCCAGTAAGCACTTCCTCAGGGCTCTTATCTGTGTCCCTCAGACTGCCCAGTGCCCCTCCTGCACGCCCAGCCCTGAGCCTCAGGTTGGACTCAGGCCAGGAACCCCATGAGGAATATTGGCTTGATGGGCAGAATCGAGAAACACCACTGAAATGACAGAATCGCCTCCTGTTTTTGGGGGGCCCAGGTAAAGGTCAGATCAGGCTAGGACAGAGGCCATCTAGCAGGAGAGGAGAGATACAGAGCTGGAAAACCTCATGTCACGTCAGGGTCACAGAGGGAGGCCCCATGGCTATTGACAACGTCTTGAGCAATCACGAAGGCCTGTGAGTAACGCAGCCTGGACCACTTCCAAGCCAGAGGCAGGAAAAATACCCTGAAGACTTAGTTTGGGTCCACTCACACTTGTTTTGGTTAAGAAACCACTCCCGGGAGCTTTTTCTGTGCAGCTGTTTCCCTGATGATATTTACCTGCTGAGCTTACCCACCTGCTTTTCCGGGGATCAGCATTGGAAATGGGCAAAACCACAGAGGCTCTAAGCTCAAGCCCAGAGCAAAGCTGGGAAAAGGGCAGGAGCTAATCTGAACTCTGCACCAGAGAACGGTGGGGGGCATGGGACGGGGGCAAGCTAGCTCTTTCCTTCTCTATGCCCTCAGACCACGTTCCCAGTACTTCTCTGGATGAAGGGATCCATGGGTTCCAGCTGGAAGGGACATGAGCACCCCCTCCTTCCTGAAGTTTACAAACCCTGCACCACAGCGCTCTGTTCCTTCCAGCTCCCTCTGAGGCCACCAGGAGGGAGGGTGGGGTGAGGACAAGGGTGGGGCAAGGGAATCTGCTGAACATGGTGGCCTCCTGAGTAAGCTTTTATTTGAAGGAATTGCCCCACTCCTCTTACACAGGCAGGAATCCGAAGCCAAGGAGGGGAGATACGGGCCTCCCTTAGGAGTAGAGACAGAGAGATGGCCCCCTTTCCCACTGCCCTTACAGCACTGTACCTCCCGGCCGTGGTTCTGGGTCTCCCTTTGCTGGTTCCCTGCCCTGCATCATTTCTGCATTTTCTAAGGGCTCCTCTGGGCCAGGCACCTCTGGGCACTGAAAGACAAGTGGAGAGGATTGGGAGGGCGGAACTGTCCAGAAGGCATTTGCAGAAATGCACACTTCTTGGTGGGATGGTTCACCCACCAACATCATTGGCCCAGAGCCAGGATGGCTTCAGATCAGTGGTTCTCAACCTTGGCTGCACACCAGGGAGCTCTGAAAGCTAACTTCTGTTTCACCCCTGTCAGCTCCGATTTAACTCGTCTGGACATTGGTCCTTGGGAGGTGTAAAAGCTCCTCCAGTGATCCAATGTGTGACCAGGGTTGAGAACCACTACTTTATTAGGTAATTTCATATCCTTGAGCCTGGAGCCACCAGAAGCGGTCTTTGCCTGCTCTTGCCTCGAGGGAGGCTTCTTCTGAGGGAGGTACACGTTTGCCAATCAGTCTCCCAAATAGAAAGTGGAAAGGGGCCTATGTCTCAAGGCTCAACACGAAACAGCTCCATGAGAGCTACAGGTACTGTTGTATAGGTTGTGCACTGCACAAAGGTATCCAATAGGAGGGGGAATAGGGCTGGGTTTGGGCTCTGCTGGCAAAGCCATGTGTTCTAGCATGGTGAGAGGGATCTGCCACCAGAAGGGCAAGCCTTTCTCTAATTTATACCAAGATGCCATACAGATAGCAGAGCCCTGAGTCTGAGATGCCTACTCAGTGGTCACCAGCACCAATGTCCCCTGGCTCCCTGCTTACGGCACTCTCAGTCTCTGTTGCCAGGCAGCTGAAGCTCTAGCTCCCTAGCACACCACTTTTGTCCATCCCACTGGTGTGCTGGACCAGCCAGCTGGTCCCAATAGCCCTGAGAGCTGATTGTTAAATTTTTAGGAATGCTGTAATTCTAACACAGACATCATTAGAAATTAAATTATGTAAACTTACAATTAAATAAACTATATTAGAAACGAAGGTAATACATACTCAACAGACATGACTTTCTAATTACTTACTACATTTTCCTGTTGTCTACATTTTTAGGATTATTTCTCTCTATCCTATCTGTATGGTGCAAATACTATTATGATTGTTGATTTTTATGTCATCTTGACTGGGCCACAGGGTGCCCAGACATTTGGTCAAGTATTATTCTGGGTGTGTCTGTGAGGGTGTTCCTGGACAAAACTAACATTTGAATCAGTGGATGGAATAAAGCACATTGCCCTTCCTGAGGTGTCTGGGCCTCATCCAGTCAGCTGGGGGCCTGATTAGAACAGAAAGGCTGACCCTCCCTTGAGTAGAAGGGAACTCCTCCTCCTGAATGCCTTGAGCTGGGACACTGGTTTTTTTCCTGCCTTCGAACTAGAACTACATCGGCTCTCCTGGGTCTCCAGCTTGCCAACTATAGATCTTGGGACTTCTCAGCCTCCATAATTATGTGAGCCAATTCCTTGTTATAAATCTCTTGCTATATACAGACAGCTCCTGACTTCTGATGGTTCAACTTGGGATTTTTCGACTTTATGATAGTGTGAAAGCAATACACTTTCAGCAGAAACTGTACTTCAAATTTTTGAACTTTTATCTTTTCCTGGGCTAGCCACATGCCAGATGATACTCTCTCATGATGTTAAGCAGCGGCAGTGAGCTGCAGCTCCCAGTCAGCCAGGCGATCATGGCCAGGAACTTACAACGGATACACTTACAACCATTCTAGACCCATATAACCATTCTGTTTTTTCACTTTCAGTACAGTGTTCAATAAATTACATGAGATGTTCAACACTCTGTTGTAAAAGAGAATTTGTGTGAGATGATTTTTGCCCAACTAATGTACATGTTCTGAGCATGTTTAAGGTAGGCTAGGCTAAGCCAAGATGTTCGGTAGATTAGGTGTATTAAATGCATTTTTGACTTAACGATTGGTTTATTGGGACATAACTCCATTGTAAGTTGAGGAAGATCACTGTATATACATATAATCAAGTGACTTATATATCCTTGAGATACATATATATATGTATCCTTGATTGGTTCTGTTTCTCTGAAGAACCCTAATTCAACTATATACTGGGCTGCTACTATACATCTCTTCCCAGCTCCTTGTTCACTGATCATGCTGGTATGCTGGTAGTTTGAAGCTGATGGTGGTGGAAACATTTATAATATACCAAGTAAATCAGCAAATGCTATCAATTGTGAAAAGAAAATAAAAAGTGGAGTTGGTATTGCTATGAGAGGTCTCTAAAATGAAGCCTGGAGGCTG